TCTTCGGACTGCTTGTCGCAACAGAGTGGTTTTTCCTGAGCTTCTGTCTTTGTCGGTTGTTTCAGGATGGTGATATCTGGGCAGGGATGGGAGTATCTACTACTTCATGCTCAGGGAACGTCAAGTTACTGTTATTCAGGTTTGTTTATGTTTTGGTCTTGGTTATTGGGTTACTGGCTGGAAACATGTCATTATTGAGATCTTCACAGTGTCTCACATTATTTATATCTGGCCTAATATATCAACTAGACTCGTGTTTGCGCTCCAAATGTATAAGGCTGCCGACTCATTCGCACAAACTCAAGTTCCGGATGCGGACACGGACGCTGTAATTCAACCCTGTTTTTATCAGATGCTCAAGAAGGGATATGAATAATTAATAATTTCGTGCTCGCAGAGTCACTTCTCATAAACTAGATTAGATGATAACCTTATCGCCGAAGGAAAGGATCCTTAACAAGCCCCACAGCTTTATTCTTGGTGTCAGCGGTGGAGAACAACCCCAGTTGATCGTTCCCCTGCCCACAGCTTTTCGTCGGTCGGATTTGCCAACCACATAAATTGACAATACCCCTCCCGACTGTGTAAAACGCCACATAAAACCGCCCTGATACCAAAGCCGCGCCAGACGTGACTTGTAAGGGCACAAAGGATTTGGGTTGGTGCTAGAAAACTCATCGAACCTTCTACGCAACCCCGAGGCTTGAGGCTTGCGGACGGGCTTTGCTGGCGCAGGGAACTACTAACCAACCCGCTGAGGAGAACTGAGGTCCGAAGGTCACTCTATCATCGGTCACGGGTTCCAGGAAGTTCCTGGATCCAGACATGATACTTGGCCTCTGTTAGTGTGCTTCCGGGCCGGGCTCGACGTAGCCTGTGGAGGAGTGGATTTTTTGCAGGGTTTTGAGCGGGGCGGCAGGCCCTGTATGTTGCTTGCTCGGGCCAAAGGTGATGCGATGCATTGGGTGTTTTCTTTTCTTTTCTTTTCTCTTCCTTTCTTTTCTTTTTTTTGTTGTTGTTTCGTATTTCATTCTCACCCCATACTCACCCGAGTCCCAGCCACCTCCCCCTGGCGCCGCGGTCTTGCTGCAATATGAACGCCTGTTTGTTTCTGTGGGACCTGCAGGTCTTGGCTTATTAATCCTTCCACCATAACTTCCCACTTAGCTAGCAATCTTCAATCAAGCAAGCTTTACACCTTCCACAGGTTATGAGGCCCGTTTTGCGCACAACACTGCCAATTCGAGATTCCTTGTTGATATAATCATTATTTAACTACTGATTCATTCAATACGCCTTTCAGCATTAAAATCATCTTATTACACCCCTTTTGATGTGTTCTAGAAGTCTTGTTTTGATTCTACGCTGCTGCTCGCTTAGAGAAGCTTGCAGAGTGAAACCCACCAACATTGCAAAAAAGCAAAAAGAAAACACCTGATTGGCGACTACGATGCCACTGAAAGCTTATATTGACAAGGATCTGATCCAAGAAGCTCTTAATAAGAAAAGAAAAGATTCAAAATGGCGGATTCTAGGCCCCATTGAACACACTCTGTTACACACTCACAATCTCGCGTCCTGCCCTCTGGCTCAGTAGTGGTGGATGATGATATTCCCCCACGCCCAAGCTCTGCTCATGATTGCCTGTCAGAAGCATTTGAAAGCTTTATTAATGAGTTTAATTCTTCTAAAACATCATTTTGATTCAAAGCTGAATTGAATACAGCTTCTGATACAGTCAGACTGTCAGCTCAATCTGTTCATTCTATTCAAACTATTCAACAATTTGATGAGACAGACTCATATCATGATAATGAAGTCTGATGTTTTGAAGCTTTGCTTTTCAACAATATTGTGCCTGATCAGCAGATGCAACATTTTATGATGACTTTTAAAATGAAAAAGAAAAAACATAAGATTTTAGAAAAAAAATGCAAGATCATTGAATTTCAATTAAAATTAAAAGAAGTTCATGAATGCAAAGCAGCTATAAATCAAATCTCATCTATCAGTTATATATCTACTATCTTTACAAATTGAACACTCATATGAAATGTCAATTTCAATGAAAAACTAGAATATAATCTGTATGATTCAGATAGTGATGTCAACAAAATGATCACACAATTTAAAAAAGATGTTAAAAATATTGTTAAATCAAATACTCTGATCAGCACATTCAACTACATCATCTGAAATGCTTTCATGAAAATGAAGTTAGTTAACACTCAATGTTGAGATATAATAGAGAAACATCAGATTTAGAACTTTTTTCAAAATTCAGAATGAGTTTTTTTCTGAGATATTAGAAACTGCTAAATTTACACATTTATTACAAACTTTTTAAATGACAGTGTCAGATCATGTTTTGTCAAATATGATGAGAATTGAATTATTTACATTCTTTAAAAAGTGATTGAAGAAGAATACTCTATTTTAAAAACATAATTACACTGCAAAACAATCATTGAATTCATCTCACTTGGTGGCATTCAAATTAACAATGTACATATTTTCTTCAATAAATTCCATGTTACGATCATGAAGTTGTGTGAGGGGTGATGACAATGTGAAAAGTGAATAGTAGAAGATAGTATATAGTGTAGTAGAAGATAATAATTGTGGTAGTAGTGTAGTTGAAGTTGTAGCTAATTGTTAAGAAGGAAAAGAAAGAGAAAGAAGATTTGCATAATACATACATTTATATATATATATATATAGAAATAGCAGTAATGAGAGTATAATAAAAAGAGATAAGAATAAATGAAGATAGAAACAAAGATAATATAATAATAAAGAAATAATAAATGAGTGCATTACAATTACCCCTCTTTTTATATAAGAGCTGCCCTCAATGATTATATAGATTGTTTATTAGTAGATGTTTACATTTTTATATTGTAAGTGCTGCTTGTTGATAGCAGTGTATTAATCGCGTCCTCTCAATAACTTGTATACGCGTTGTTATCAATTCCTTAATGAGGTAGAATTGGCGGATTCTTTGATTGTTAGAGGTTGCATGCAGAGAAATAAAAAGAATTTCTTTTCCTTTGAAAATTTCTCTTTTTTTTTAACTTGATCATCATCAAAGCTTTTTGCTCTTTTGCTGTGATTTTTTCATTTCAAGAGAAAATTTTTTAAAACTTCTTCATCAGTTCTCTCCCCTCCTCTTTTCATTGAAATGGGCTCTCTTGAATATTCTGATTTTAAGTAAGTTGTTCTTTGAGTATTTATTATATATTATTATTGATGTTCTCTGTCAGTGGTGTTATTAGTGTGGTCACATACTTCATTAGCTTGTTTCAGTATAGCGCCATTCACTGTTCACTTGTTATATTGCTCTAGCTTTAACCCTAATCACATGATGTACAACAATCAGATTCCGTGCAAATATTATGCTCTCAGACTTGAAAATGTCAATTTTTGATGTGTGTTGAAACTTAATGCTCAGAAATATTATGAGATTTGTGTCTCTGCAGAAAAATTCTGCAAATCTGTAAATGTTTTTATTTCTATTTCCTTTTTCTCTTTCCTCAAATTTGTTTTTTGAATAGATAGTAGTGTCATTAATAATGTTAATATATTAATAATAATGTTAGATGTATGATATACCTCTTCCGAGGCGCATTATGCATGAGTGAGCATTTATTTTTGCAGGGGTGGTGGCTGGGAAGAATATGACCATTTATAAAAGTCATCTTTGTCATTTGATAAAATGATTGAACATATTTTATGTGATGATGTTGTTTGTTCAGAGTAAAGTCAGAGTAAATGCTCTGTGATCTCAGCACTGAGCGGCGGCTGAGTCTGCAGAGATGCAGATTTTGAAAGCAGTGATTGTATTTGATTCTTTCAAAGCAGAGATGTTAGAGGAAGAGAAAGGTGTGATGAAGAATATGAGAGTTTTAAAAATATTGAGCTTTATGAACTCTGTGGTGAAGAGATTGACTGAAGAGAGATTGACTGAAGAGAATTTGATTAAAGAGTCAATGAAGAAGGTTGTGAAGATGTTGATGACTGCAGTGCCATTAACATCTGTGAAGCAGAGAGAGCAGATGTCTCAAATGATGAAGAAGTGAAAGAAGAAGATGAGAGAGAATATCTTCATTAATCAGATATATTGAAGAATGAGTAGATTGATGAGAAAGAGAAGAAGTGAAGAGATAAATGTTCTGTGAAATAAACATTTGTCTATACCCCTGCACTCAAAATGAGTGCTGGTAATTTATAAATACTGAAAGGAGTATTGAGCAAAGGTGGTAAAGAGAGGGGATGAGAAGAATGGCAGAAGAGAGAAAAGGAAGTGAGAGATGAAAAATAAAATGAAAGTGAATGAACTGAAAGTCTTTAGGTTTTTCTTAAGACTCATTTCCCTTTTTTTTTTTTTTTTTTTTTTTTTTTTTGGGTATTTATTATACCCCAATTGAATTTTTTCCTTTTCCTCTTTTCTCTGATAAAATTCTTTTTTAAAAAAATGCATTTGATTGAAGTTTGAGTGAGATTTGTATTTTTAATGTTTTTCAATTTGAGATTTGCACTTCTGACATCTTTCAATTTGATATTCACACTTTTGACATTTAAAAGTATGTTGGTTTTGTATTTGTCATTTATTTTCTTATTCAAGAAAGATTTCAAATGTCTGAATGTTTAATATGTTTTCTTTCAGTTTTCATGTATCATCACTAAGTTCCCAATTTGTCCATCTCATAAGATATTTCATAGATTTGTTTTTTCATTGTTGTTTTTCAAGGATTTTTTCAATTTGATATTTTTCTTCACCATCAACAAGTTTCAATCCTGGTTCTGATAAAGCTCTATTTCTGCGATTGTATGGCTTCAATAAAGAAACATGAAATACAGAATGAATGTTTCTATATGAAGGTGATAGTTTCAATTTGTACACTTGTTTTCCGATGGTATTCAGAATCTTGAAAGATTCAACATATTTATGATCGAGTTTACAAACTGAGTATAGCAATCAGAGGTTTTTTGCATTGAGCATGATGTAATCATCTATTTTAAATTGTTGAAGTTTATGTTTTGCATCATAATAGATTTTCTGTGCTTGTTGCATGTTTTGTAGATTCTCAATGAGTTTGTGATGTGTTTCCTCAATATGTTTTGCACAGCTAACAGCATGTATATATGTATGTATGTATAGGTTTAACGTCCCGGAGAAAACACGGGCAGCGCCCGTGTTTCAGAAGCCTCCCGAAGGGCATGGAGACGTGCTTCTATTAAAACTTCTGCAAATGCTATTTCAGTAGAGGTAAATTGAAAGATATTGTAAACAAACTGCACTAATGATAGTCAGTGTGTTCAGTCATTTTGATGATAGTTGATAAAGCATCAAAAATAATATTTCAAAGTTTGATTCTGTCATTCTGTTTGGCCATTTGTTTGAGGGTGAAAGGCTGTTGAAAGTTTCCAGTATGTGCTTAGCATGTAACAAAAGATGGACCAATAATGGCTTGTAAACAGTGAGCCTCAATTGAATATATGGTTTTTGAGTACTTCATAAATTGTATAGAACTTGATATAAACGATTTCTGCTAGTTCATTCATTGTAATGTTTTTGATGCAAGAAATATAAATTGTAAACTTGGTATATATATTCACAATCACTAAAATCACATTATAGATTTGCTGGAGGAATGTAAAGGATGGCAAGCCTATAATAAAATTCATAATAATGAATTTAAAAGAATTTGATGGTAAGAAAATTATATTCAACTCTTCATATTATCTGTGCCATTTTAACTTTTTTCTTTGACGAGTATCACAAGTGGATATATAATCTTTAACATTTCTGACTAGTTTATGTTAATAGTATTTGTTCTGAATGCTATCTATGAACTTTTTTATATCAAAGTGACCCCCCTGCAGATCATCATAGAGGGTGTAGACAAAAAGAGTGCTGCTCAGGCATTCAAGGAATGGTGGAGAAGTCAACCCTCAACAGATCTATATGTTTTCTCAGATGGATCAGAACGGAGCCTTGACAACAGCAGGCAGGTGGGCTATGGCTTCATAGTCTATCAGGGAAATAAACAGCTGGCCAGCTTCTCAGCTGCGCTGAGCCCTATGTCACATGTCTTCGACGCTGAGGCAGTTGGTGCCTGCCGGGCACTAGAGTGCGCCGTGAAGCTCCTACCTTGTGTCACAGAGGACAGCAGCAACCCTCAGATCTGGCTCTGCCTCGACAACACCTCAGTCATCTGGGGCATACGGGGCAGTGCAGCAGCCTCCTCAAACTGGGCCTACAACCGCTGCCATGAGCTCCTCAGACAGCACAATCTCGGCCTGAAATGGGCTCCTGGGCATATGGGGATAGGGGGCAATGAGGAAGCAGACCGCTTGGCTAAGCGGGCAGTCTCATCCACTGCAGCCCCAGCCTATGGTCTCGAGGCCACACCCACAGTCAGTGGGGTCCGCACAGTGGCCAAGCAGCTCAGCCAAGAGGCAAGGCGAAAGTGGTGGAGTGGAGCCTGTGGCAGGCTCTCTGACTGGTACCGGGGCTGGAGTTTCAGCAGGCCGACTGTGGAATACCAAGTGAAGGCCCCTCCGGAGCTCACCATGCCACGGCATGCCCTTCACCGCTGGCTCGCACTCCGCTCCTCTCATGGGGACTTCTCCTGGTACCACAGGCGTTTCCAGCATGCAGATGCGAGGCTCACCTGTGTCTGTGGACACAACAAGAGCCCAGAACATTTGGTGCTCTGTCGACACTCACAGAGGCACTTTCTTCACTGGCCCAAGAGGCCAGCAGCACGGCCACACAACCGGGCGACAGCTGTTGCCTATCTAGGGTCTCTGACCCCTACAGACTTTGTAGAACTGCTGGACTTCACGCAGTTCTACACACGGTACTGCACAAGGTAACGCAGCCGGCTGGCTGCAAACCATCTGACAACCCCCGCAGCAGTTCCACGAGGCCGGCCTGCTGAGTACACCCACGGTAGCTAGTGCAACTGCCAGGGACATCACAGTCTATGCAGACAGTACAGATAGCACAACTAGGCTCATCTGTCTCAATTAGCTGTGGTGTAATCAGTACAGTCTACGTGTCTGACTCAGCTGATATGGTTTTGACTGCCGGCATTGTATCTACGCGTGCTCTGCTTTGTTTTCCTCTCGTTTGCCCTTGTCTCTATCGGCTCAAATGCTTCTTCTTCCTTCTTTTCTTTGCTCTCTCTGTCATTCTCTGCTCTTTTCCTGTCACAACCTTCTTCAGTGCTCTCTCCTTCATTATTTATCTTGTCTGTCTTTCTTCTGATGTTAGAAGCACAGACAGCTTTCTGATCAACTGAGAGAGGTATCCCTCTCTGCTCACTATAAAGCCTTCCAGGCACGGCAGCGGCGGTCCCCTCAGGGAACCACACTATAGCCCCACCATGAATGGCCATACGTCGGGCCAGAAGTGGATGCACAGCTCAGAAAAATCCTTTGCAATGAGCTGAGTCTTCTCAAGAGTTGCCACCTGGATTCTGTTTTCTCTCTCTGTGTACATAGAAATCTCTCCAGCGTAGCACGTCTCCATGCCCTTCGGGAGGCTTCTGAAACACGGGCGCTGCCCGTGTTTTCTCCGGGACGTTAAACCTATACATACATACATACATACATCATAGTTTGCACTGATAATTTCATCAATAAATGCCTTTTATTGAGGGACATACGCGCGATCATCAGCATGCAATATATCATTCTCAGAAATTGTTCATAGCATATTTTCAGCAACAGTCATATTTTTCTTTTTTATTTTCTCTCTTTATTCAGCAGCAAAAGAATCAATCTTCTGTGCTTTATTCAGAAATGAGATGAAGGATTCTGTCACACCCTTGGTTGTGCCAAGGCCCTGTGACGGCTCCACACGGCCCATCGTTTCCCCTCGGATAATCCTATCTATCCCATGACGTCACGCAGGTGTCCGAACCGGTTTCCAACCACCCTATGACATCATTCGGATGCAATAGAAGAGGATCCGATTGATGGGATATGAGAATCCTGTTTCTATACGGGGTCAGTAGATTCCTTCTGGCAGATTAATGCAGCGCCACTGCGGAGTTGCTTCGGCTACCCTCGCTCATAGAGTGAGAGGAGGATGGCTGCCCGTTGTCTATATAGAATAGCTAGATGCTGGCTCTCTATTCCAGGAGCCAGCGATTCGTCTTTTATCTTTTGACAATAAGATACCAGAGTTACCACTGTCCTCATACAATATTCTTAGTGTGCCGAGTACCTCTGGTAGTTCAGTATTTGTATGATCTGTAGTATTCTACGAGTTCGCGGTTCAAGCGAGATAACCAAGCCCACCCATAAGGCTCCCCATTATATACCATCCTCCTCTGTGCCGCTGCCGAGTAGCAATCGCCTCGGCGCCGTCACATTACAAATTCAAACATTTCTGTTCTGTTTTTTATACTTTTTATTTCATTTATTTTAAATTGAATGTATTGATCTGTTGTCATTCTTTTGACATTCTTTCTTAAATTGAATAGTTTGAATAGTTGTTTGATTCTGGGCTGGAATTCTGCTATTGCATGTATTAAATTGACTTTGTATATTAGCTTATTCTTAAGTTGACAAATCCTGGAGTGTTTCAGGTAGGTGTCATAGTCACTGACTGCATACATCTATAATGGAATAATAATAATAATAATAACAGACATTTCTGTATATACTGAGTTTTCAAGAATAATCTTATTGACTGCAATTCAGATCATATATTGCTCAACGTGCATCAGAGGGGAAGAGTTTACATGAGAGGTATAAGACATTGATATATAGAGCACTTTTCACTCATTAAAAAGAGCATTTTGCTCATTAGAAACCCGTGCACAAATTACATCAGAAGAAATATCATTTTGAAAAGAAGTATCAGCTTTTCAATTTAATCTAACTCCATATTTCAGCTTCTGTTGCAGGGTAGATAATATAATTTGATCATTATAGACCTCATTATAATCTGTGCAATAACTGAACTCATCAACTGAATTCTTTAATTCAGAGTGATATAATAATACAAAATCATAAACAAATAAAGCTTCTACTCATCTAATCTGACATTTATTCAATTTCTTAGTCATCATAAAGTACTGCAGATTGGCATGATTAGATCAGACTTGAATTGAATACTGACTTCTCTTTAGATAACGTTTTCAATTTTTAAATGCTGCTACAATAGTCAAGAGTTCTTTATCATAAGTATCATAACACATTTCCACATCAATTAACTTTCATAATCAGAAGGCAACTGAATGTCAGTGTCTGTCATTCTGCAATTGTGATAGAATAGCAATGACTGTAAAAGTGGATGCATCAGATTCAATTTGAATACACTGAGCTGAATCAAAATGAGTTAATAGAGGAGCACACATAAAGCATGATTTAAGTGCATTGAAAGCGCTTTGAATATCTTCTATTTATATAAAAGTGGCTTTTCTTTCCCCTTTCTTACTCCCTTTTATAAGTTCGAATAATGGGGCTGCAATAGAGGAGAAAGATTTAATAAATCACTGATAGAAATTAACAAAACTCAAAAAAAATTAAACCTCTTTAATTGATTTAAATGTAAGCCATTTCACAATAGTGAAGACTTTAACTAACTTCATCTCAACACCATTTGTACCTATAACAAACCTCAGAAATGAGACTTTGTCACCTTTAAACTCACATTTAAAGAGTTTTGCAAATAGATTTATATGCTCAAGACATTCTAGCATCTTAATAACATACACTTTATATTCCTGTTTTGAATTGGAGAATATGAGAATGTCATTCAAATAAATAACACAATATATATCCAACAAATCATACAAGGCATTGTTAATGTATATTTGAAATATCGCTGAAGCATTAGCTAATTCAAATAGCATAATTACATATTCAAAATGTTTATATCTCATTCTAAAGACTGTCTTCCAACGGTCTTTTGCTGCTATAAGTATGTGGTGATAAGCATCTTGAAGGTCTAGCTTAGTGAATATTTTGGCTTTTGAGAGTTTGTCAAGTAATTCATTTATTAGAGATAGAGGGTATCGATTCTTGATGGTGATTTGATTTAATCCTCAATAGTCTACACAAAGACAGAGTCCATTATTTTTCTTGAAAATAAATAGAATTGGTGCATTAGCTAAGCTACTGAATGATTGTATTCATTCTTTATCTAATATATTTTTTAAATATTCCCTTAGAGTAGCTAACTCAGTTTCAGAGAGATTGTATATTAATATAAATGAAAATTGTATATCAGATTTGAGATTTATATGATGTTCTGTCTTTTCTAATCTTTATATGCTTATAGCAGCTTCTTCTGAGAAGATATATGTGTATGGTATAACATAACCGAATAGGCTGGTCAGCAAGTCTGAATATGAAGCTGAAAATATATATGAAGCATACTTTAAATCTTTTAAACATTCTGTAGATAATACTACAAGCATTTCTTCTCTGATTTCAGTGAGAATTTCAGTTAAAACATCTTGTTTAGAAATAATTTGTAGCTGTTGTTCATTTTCAGATCTTCTGAAGAAGAATTGTTCATCTGATCATCTATAAAAGAATTTGTTGGTTTTAATCAAGAAAATTGTAACACAAGATTGTAGTTCTTCATCTTTATTGCATGGAAGGAATGAGATATCTGCTGTGCATTACTCTTGTGATCAGTGACAGTAGTTGCAATATTATATTCTTTAAAGAAGTGCATTATGCATTCATCAATCAATTTGATCATCTTGATTTTGTGATGAGCAGCTTCTAGATTGTGATCCTTTGTCTAAAATTTATTGACACAGTTCACTTCTGACTCAGAGTCTACTAGTGCAAGCACTTTTTACAGACTCATAGGTGTAGCAATTTCCACTGTGACAGTGAAGTTTAAAGTATTTTTGCATCAACTTTCCACATTTATAGCGGTCATTGTGAGCTGAATGACATGTTTTAAGTGTGTTTTGAGTCCTTTGAATACTTCATATCTTTCATATTGAGTTTCAAGTCAGACTTGATGTTCTTGGATTCATTTTTGAATTGTTTGAAGCATGAATCAATGGTATGTTCTGATCACTTGCAATAACAGCATCAATATTAAAATTCTCACAATTTCTTCTCAGTCTGTAACTTCTTAATTCTTCTAATCACAGCTATCTTCTCAGCCTCAATTGAACTCGGATCTTCAGAAAAGGTATCTCTTTTCAAATTGTATTTAAAGTCTGAAAGAGATTGATGTTTGTTGCACACTTTCAATGACAGAGGTGCACATTTCACAATCTTCTTCACTGATATTTGTTGCTTCTGATTCGGCGGTAGCATGAGTACGGCGGATGCTGTAGATAGAGGTCATGACTATTGCTCAACAGATCATCTTTTAAAAATTGAGTGATTAGAAACTGTGAGAGGTGATGACAATGTGAAGAGTGAATAGTAGAAGATAGTATATAGTATAATGAAAGATAATAATAATAATAATTATAGTAGTAGTGTAGTTGAAGTTGTAGCTAATCACTAAGAAGGAAAAGAAAGAGAAAGAAGATGTGCGAAATATATACATTCATATATATGTACTTATAGAAATAGCAGTAGCGAGAGTATAATGGAAAGAGGTAAGAATAGACAAAGATATAAACAAAGATAATATAACAATAAGGAAATAATAAATGAGTGTATTACCAGTTGGAATGATGAATGCTGCTTCATTGAATATAAGAGTATTTGATATATTTTATTCCACTGTTTCTAACATTTGAAGGAGCTACATTTAAAAGAAAATTGAAGAGGCTCAGAAATTTAAATCAATATTTATTATATTAAATATCTACTTTTTCATAAAAAAAATTCACTTTCAATTGAACTCTCTGAAGAATAGGAAAGCTCTGCAGAGTTCAGATACAGCTGTTAACACAATACAATCAGATACTACAGCTGTCAATTTTAATAATAATACATCAAATTCAGTTTGAGAAAATCAATCTGAATGTGATTGTTGCAGTTTTTATAATGATGTTTAGAGTGAAATTGAAAACCCATCATTCTGCTTTGAATGTGAAAAAGCTCATCATAATATTTATTGATTTGTCAATTCTGTCAACACACCCGATGATTGGAAGATGAATAACACAGTGAGGATAAAAGAGTTTAAGAATAAGAAGAAAAAGAAGAATAAAGACAAAAAGAATAAAAAGAATAATGAAAATAAATTTCAATTGATGATTACAGATGATTTTAAATCCTTTCAAATAATGAACTTTATGAAGATTATAAATATATCAGCTTATTTAATGAAATTGTGCAAGAATTCTCTTACTATATGAAATAGTGATGTTGGCTGTCATATTGTGAGTGAAAGATTACTTTTTTCAACACTTATTCTGATTGACAGTTTTATAATTCAAATGGTTAATAAGGCTGTTCTGAAGATTTAGAGTATCAGCATGATGTTCATTTCAATCAGTGAATGGTTAATAGAATTCAATTATATATATTATATGTCAGAATTATCAATCAATCTCATCTCTGCTGAGTTTATAAAATGTTAGAGTTATATTCATTGTGATATATATATTAACACTGAGAATTATTTTAAGTTTTTGTTTTTTATTGATAACAATATGTTTTATATCAACCCCTTCTGCAATAATATCTACATTTTTTCTGACAATTCTTCAACATTCAATGATATAATGAATGATTTGATATACAGTAAAGTCATCTATATGACAATTTCTAAATTTAGAGTTATTATTATTATTATTATTTATTATACTCTGCCTTCATCCAATGGATATGCGGTTCTGCTACCATATGTCTAGCT